ACTCAACATAATTCTAACTTATTTTGTATTTCCTCTTTTTTATCTCATTGTTAATTAAATATTAAAATTATTTTATCTTAATTAAAAATAAAAATAAAGACAATGCGTGTTCTAGTATAAAATTCATTGAAAGTTGATAATTGACGAATAACCACGATAAATTTCCAATTTTCTCTTTACTATAAATAACATACAAATAACATTTTTTGATATAGCACTTTCACGTTTTATATATCATCCCGTGTGGAAAATTGTCTCACAAAACTGAGACAAATGCTAGTAACTAGCTATTCTAGGCTATATTGAATATCTAGCTAATAGTGTTAGTATCACTTGCCAGATTTTTGGATGCATATCATATTTGAAATGCTTGGTCAGTGATTATATAGTTATTTGGAGTTAACCATGACATTGTATTTAACTACAAAAATTATATAGTCATCAGATTGCTACGGGCTACCAATCATTAGTTTTAAATAAAAAAAGAAATAGTGTGTTTTTCGTGATATATATCTAACTTCTATCTATGCACTATCTAATTATTTTTAGTTATAGATGGCGTTGAATCATTTAAAACTTATCTAGTTGTCATCTCATATTTGACTAGCAAAAAGCTTTAATTAAAAATATATACATGTCATTTTTGTATCATTTAATTGAAATTTGACTTAGCTATTAACCATGTTTAAGAAAATGAAAAATCGTGAACATGTGCAAAGACATTGTCGAGTGAAAGCAGCATTAAAACAATTAGAAATATCTAATAATATTGAAGGTATGTGTATGATTACAAACAAGTATTTGAATATTCAATGTGTATTCTGTAAAATTTTTACCTTTTGACTCTAAAATTCAAATAAAGAAAGATAAAAATCACTTATTGGGCAACGACTTTCTTTTAAATGATAGGACGGTTAAGTCCTATCTTTGACCTTATTTATTTTTACGGAATTATACCGGCACAAGATAATGTTTTGTCAGGAACGACTGTTTAAGTTAATAAAGAAGAATCGACACTGCTTGAAATTCAATACTTTAGCCTTTATGTAACAAAGACTGATATAAGAGTTTTCCCGTATAATGATTTCAGCGTTTTACAAGTCCCGATATTCGACTATACTTCCAATAGGCTCTCTACTTGATTTCAGTTTTACTTTCGACTATTTCGCACGGCTTGACGATAGAGAGTGAGATTCGATCTCGAGTTCTCTCGCAGGTCGACTTCCTAGAAGTTTCTCGAACATTAGATCGGTTACATTTTAATATAATAAAATACATGGAGCGGGAGCGCGCCCGCGCAGAATCGATTGTATCGAGGCGCTGCTCTCGATCCTCTGGCTGCCGTCCGCTGGCGCTTATCGGTAGTTATTGGTCGCAATCTTTCAGCTCGGCCGTCCTGGCCTTGAACTTTGTCCTCAAAGTTTTCCTCGAGTGAAATTCATTGCGCAATTGGCTGTATGTGTCTGTGGTACATCGTGTGAGATTTTGTGCACCTGTTCGGGTAAGTATTCAAGGCGTTTTTACAAATCGTATATACTTGATTACTAAATCTTAAACCTAATCAACGAAAACATTCTTTATTTTATATTGAATTAACATAATGTAATTAATGGTTTCAGATTTGTCCTCAGGAGGATCACATCTGATCCATGGTTTGAGGCGATCGCATGACAGGCATTATATCTTATTTTTTTCGTTTTCCGCGCTTTGGCGGCGACCCGAAATTTCGTTTCGCACCTTTCGGGTTTTTCTTCTTCGCCCTGCTCTGTGACCCGTTAAATTGGTGAGCTCGGCCCTTAACGAGCTTCGTGGACGCATCTCGTCGCGATGCTTGCGCAAAGACAGTCATCCGCGGGAATCTCGTATATCTTCTGTGACTCCGGCACGTTAGTGATCGGTGAGATGCTCGGACGGATAATTTCTTTTTTTAAAAGATCATCGGTGATTTTTTCTATACACAGGCGCTCCACAGAAGCAAAGCGTCGCGGCGCAAGCGCATAAATCGGAGGATCACGTAAGTGTACTTTTTCTTCGTAGTTTTCTTCGATCGGCTCGACATTTTTATTCTCTATATTTACTATTAAATCGATTATTTTTTCCTTAAATTCTAAATCTATATTACTAACGCTATTTTCAAATATATTTTGCAGGTCGTGCGCCTGATTATTTTCAATACAGAGCGGCAATTGCTCGAACAAGCTGACTCGGCTTGTTGAGCTTACTTCCGCCACGTCGCTATGACTATAAACTAAGGTGAGTTTGTTTTCCATCAAAAAGTCGCGACCTAAAATCAAATCAACCGAAGACGACTCGTTAAATATATACAACGGGATTTCGAACGTTTTGTTTTTCAGGTCTTCCAAAGTCAATTTGGTCGGGACGATCCCTACGACCTTCAACGGCTCTGAACACAAATTAGTTATATCCCTATCGGCCGGTAGAATTTTATGATTTTTCGGCATTATGTATTTAGCGAAAATCCTATAGTTAATAAATGATACCGGACTGCCGGTATCGACTAACGCTTCTAAATTGCATTTTTCCTCGCAGACGCTCGTGATCTTAACCGATGATTCGGCCAAGTCCCTTCCTGAGTCGTCTGCATCGATGACGACTCCTACGAATTCGGCTTCCTCTGTGACGGCTGCCACCGCCGAAGCCGTTGTCATCCGCTGAGCCGTCGGCGGCTTCCCGCCACTTTTATCCGTAAGTTTCGGGCAGTCAAACTGACGGTGCCCCTTCGTCTTACAGTAAAAGCATATCACATCGCCACGGCACTCTACGTGGGTGTGACCGCTCTTCCCGCAATTTCGGCACAAATTAATGTTCGCATTTCTCGGCGCGTTTACTGATGAACCGGGTTTCCGTTCGGAATCAACTCCACCTTCCGCAATACGGCGCATTTTCACTAGAAAATCGTCGATAAAATCGCCCGCGATCGAGAGAGCTATGGCTCTCAACGAACTCTGCGTTATTCCGCCGATAAATAAATGTATTCAGTCTTTTATTGGTAAATTTAAATTGTTCAATAACGCGAGTTTGGCGATCGCGTATTGGTCGAACGATTCTTTATACGCGTTCCATTTCCGCGCCTCGACCTTCTGCATCGCCTTGTAGAATGGCACTTTTTTTTCGAACATCTTATTTAGTTCATTTTTCAGGGCCAGCCAAGATCCAATCACGTCGCCCGTCTGGATCTCGTACCATTGGCGGGCGAATTTCGTCAATTTACTGGACGCGGCCAGCAATGTGATCCCGTCGGCTGCGCCATGTATGACGGCAACTTGGTCGACCCGTCTCGACCACACGGCAACGTTTTCGTTTTCACCGCCACTAAACTCCGGAATCTGAGAGGCCAGCCAACTAACCGCGTTTCCCGCCGGTAGTGTATTCGCACTTATATGAGTCTGTCCGTTTATCGCAGAATTTAAATTGTTTGACACATTACCTTCGTTTCTGCTAATTGATTCAGGGCTACCTGGGTCTGCCTCTCTGTCTGACTGGACCACCTGGACGTTTCCCGCCCTTGGCGCCAGCTGCTGCAGTACCTGCAGCATGAACTGCTGCTGTTGCTGCTGAAGCTCCTGCTGTTGCTTCAAGATTGATGTGGAGATGTCCGACATCGCCTGACGGAACATCTCCGACGTCAGCGGCTCCGCCACGACTGTTCGCCTTGCAGATGATGCTGCTGGGACGTGGATCTCTCCAGCGGCCTGTTGTTCGTCCAACGTCCTCTCCGACGGCCCAATCCTCTCAAGGTGGGTGAGTATTTGGTCAATAAGGAGGTCTCGGTCATTGATCACTGGAATCTGATACCGTCGAGCCTCCCTTTGGATCGTTTCTAACGAAGCTTGCTCCAAATCTTCTCTATCAAGCATCGACCTTGTCTTCGGCATGATGCTCGCTCGACACGACCCGATAACGTCTTTTTAATCGTCTTTTCTCTGATTTTAGACTCGAAGAGCCTTTATCGACTTCGGCACGACACGGCAGCGATCTTAGATCGTTTTCGACACGTTGCAGACTTGAAAAAGCCCTTTTTTTAATTTCGGCACAACACGGCAGTAATTTTTAATGTAATTCGACACGACACGGCTCAAGGATATTGTTATCCCACCCGACACGACACGGCAATGTTCGTTTTTTAAACTTTTGACTCGACACGGGTTTAATGAGCCCGTAATCCCACTTCTGAGCTGTAAGATTTTTACCTTTTGACTCTAAAATTCAAATAAAGAAAGATAAAAATCACTTATTGGGCAACGACTTTCTTTTAAATGATAGGACGGTTAAGTCCTATCTTCGACCTTATTTATTTTTACGGAATTATACCGGCACAAGATAATGTTTTGTCAGGAACGACTGTTTAAGTTAATAAAGAAGAATCGACACTGCTTGAAATTCAATACTTTAGCCTTTAATGTAACAAAGACTGATATAAGAGTTTTCCCGTATAATGATTTCAGCGTTTTACAAGTCCCGATATTCGACTATACTTCCGATAGGCTCTCTACTTGATTTCAGTTTTACTTTCGACTATTTCGCACGGCTTGACGATAGAGAGTGAGATTCGATCTCGAGTTCTCTCGCAGGTCGACTTCCTAGAAGTTTCTCGAACATTAGATCGGTTACATTTTAATATAATAAAATACATGGAGCGGGAGCGCGCCTGCGCAGAATTGATTGTATCGAGGCGCTGCTCTCGATCCTCTGGCTGCCGTCCGCTGGCGCCGTCTATCGATAGTTATTGGTCGCAATCTTTCAATTTTTAACCTTCTCTTTAACCTAATATTCATTACTACTATTATCAAAAATATGAATAATTTTTTGGTAATACTACTATTACCAAAAATATTAATAATTTTATTTTATTTTTATTACATAGAACAATCCCGGGGGTTGAGCTACCCACCCGGCGCGTCTCCAGGTGGCGGATAGGAGGATGCC